TGACTCTCTCAAATTAAATGGAAAAGGAAAAGTAAAAGGGGTGGGGGACAGACAGGCTGCTGCGCAGAGGAAAGATGCCATCGTGGGGCATGCAAGCGCAAGTTTTAATTCATTGCATGACATCATGATGACGTCATGATGGTGTCATTGAGCACTTCCAACGGCTCTAGCTTGTTTCTAATTAAAAAAATTGGTAGATCCAACGACTGTGATGATTTGGACACTGTTTGAACGGGACAAAAATTAATCCAATGGCTGAAATTGAAATCCAACGGTTAAAATAATTTATTTCATTTTTCCTTTATTTTCAATTAATATTTTGACCGAAAATCCTATATAAACACTTCATTTCTTCCTATTTTAATCACACATCTCTCATCTATCTCATTCTTCATCATATATATTTTCTTTACTATCTAAATTTTTGTGATATCTTCATCAAGAAGAGGTGCTAATTGGAGTGTTATTGAGGATGTTGCTCTATGCAATGCTTGGGTATCCATATCCGAAGATGGTGCCATTGGCATAAATCAACCTGGCGAGAGTTTTTGCGGCCGAATTCACGTATCATTTTCACAAAAATGTAACGTTCCACGGACTCGGGATTCAATTGAGTCTCGTTTTAAGATCATCAATCACCAATGCTCTTTATGGAAAGGTTGTGTGCGGAAGGCGAACGCAACCCCGACGAGTGGGTCAAACTTAGCCGATTTGGTAACTTATAAACTACTCCATTATTTCATTTTAATTCATAAAGTATATATTAATATATTCTATACTTATACATATAAGTATATTACTATTTTCAAGAGATATATATAACTATATTGATAAGTAATAAAGTATATGATATATTCTTTTCGAAAAAAAATATATAACTATATTTATATTTTGAAGAGATATATGTAACTATAATTAACAAATTATATATTAATATATTTTCAAAATATATATATATATGTGTGTGTGTGTGTGTGTGTGTATATATATATATATATATATATATATATATATATATATATATATATATATATATATGCCTAGTAAAGTATATGTTAGTATATATATACCTAGTAAAGTACTCCTTACATGTTAGTAAAGTATATGTTAGTATATGTTAGTATATTTTCGAATATATTAGTATATATACCTAGTAACTATTATAACTATTAATATATTCTATACTTTTACATATAAGTATATTAATATTTTCAAGACATATATATTTTCGAAATATATATGTGTATATAATATATATTTTCAAAATATAGATATAACTATGTAATTAAATCATTTAACTATATTACTATGCATTTTACGCATTTGTTTTTATATTGTAGGACTATCAAGCTGGAAACATTTTCATGAATGATAACCATGGCAAGGCATTCAAATTTGAGCATGTGTGGCGTATCCTCCACTCGTGCCCGAAGTGGTACCAACAATACGAAGCTCCGGTATCCTTCACCCGGCCAGTATCGTCTCCACAATCGCATGATTCGCCCACACTTGGAGGTAGTGCTAGCTCTCCCTCAGATGGAGAGCCACTTCAACGCCCTGAAGGGCGGGACACGCAAAAAGCAAAAAGTGTTGGAAAAACGTGTTAAAATTGCATTAAATGGTCATTTTGGGGCAATTTTTTGAGTGGGGTCCACTTCCGATTTGGGTCGGGTCAAAGTGGTTTCGGATTGTCCTTGATTAGGGCTACAATTCGATATATGGCACGCTCAAAACGGATAACGGGTTAATGAGAAATTGATTCTCGAAGTTCACTCGTTGAAATGGAGAAAAACTAGGAAAAAGTGGGTTTCTAGTGTGGTTTTTTCCCACACCGGAAAACCCAAGGGAATTTGAACCCTTTATAAAGGGAAACCCCCTTAAGGAGTTAATATTCCTTAGGGTAAAGGCTCTCTGCACGCGCGCAGGGGGGGTGCGAATCAAATCCCGAAACCAGAGAACAAAAAGCCGTCCGAAAATCCTATCTTCTAAAGATAACGTTAACTTTTGTTCTTCCGGTGTGTTCAATTTTTTTCTCCAGCTAGCCCATTCAATGCCCAACGTTCATATGCACGTTTTGGACGGACGAAGAGGGGTGCGGATCAAATCCCGAAATCGGAGAACAAAAAGCGCGACTTGCGTGCGCGGGCTACCTGTGGACACGAATGCCGTTCGAAAATCCTATCTTCTAAAGATAACGTTAACTTTTGTTCTTCCGGTGCGTTCCATTTTTTTTTTCTCCGGCTAGCTCATTCAATGCCCAACGTTCATATGCACGTTTTTGACAGTTTTTATGGACGAATCAATGCCAGCATGCTGGACATTGATGTCCAACGTTCACACCATTAAAACTGGCCATTTACACATGCAAATCCACCCCTATATAAGGCTGGCAGATGGTTTACAACAGGAAACACTTGATATATGAACCACACCTTCTTTTAGCTCAAAAACTCTCCAGCCTTCTCCGAAAAAATTCCTTTTGTGTTCTAAGCTTTGTTCTCGTTCGTTGGAACCTTAGTTTGATTGCTAAACTATCGTTCGAAGTCATCGTATCTTGGGAAACGATCGTTGCAATGCTCCTAGCACCCCGGGAGGCAACGAATATGTTTTAAGAAAATCGTGCGAAACACAAGCTTTGGCTTTTTCTGCTTCATCTATTTTCTGTTTTTCGTTTGGTCATTTTATTTAATAAATTTTTTTTTAATTAATTAATTTTCTTACTTTTTCGAAACACACCCAACAAACTTAAAATGTATTCGTTGATTGTTCTACTTCGGTATACAATCTTAAACTTGTAGTTTATCACCTTGGTGAACGAACTTTTTTTTTGTGTTTTCGAAAAACGTAAGGAAAAAAATGACTTCTCAACAAAATGAAAATGTTGGGCAGAATGTTGTGAACAAAAATAACTCTGAAAGTGGAGCTCCGGTGAACAATAGTTCACAACGCGGTGCATCTGCTTTGGGCAACCAAGGGGCAATCCCTATGGTTACTGTGCCAAGCAACTCGGTGGAGAAACTCGAAAAATTTAATGGGTTAAACTTCAAGAGGTGGCAGCAAAAGATGCTCTTTTACCTCACTACTCTCGGTCTTGCTAGATTCTTGACCGAAGATGTACCAATAGTAACCGGGGGTGAGGTGGATGCGCAATCTTTCAACGCGGTTGAAGCTTGGAAGTATTCTGACTTCCTGTGCCGAAACTACGTGTTGAACGGGCTGCATGATGCTTTGTACAACGTGTATAGCAAATTAGCTACGGCTAAGGAGCTATGGAATGCTTTGGACCACAAATATAAGAGCGAGGATGCCGGTGCAAAGAAATTTGTTGTCGGTCGATTCCTTGATTTTAAAATGGTGGATTCGAAGACGGTCTTGAGTCAAGTTGAAGAAATGCAAATGATCTTCAACGAAATTTGAGATGAAGGAATGACAGTTAGTGTGTCTTTCCAAGTGGCGTCAATTATACATTTGTTGCCGCCGGCTTGGAAGGATTTCAAGAACTACCTTAAGCATAAGCGAAAGGAAATAAACTTGGAGCAATTGATTCTCCATCTGCGGATTGAAGAGGATAATTGGAAGAACGATGGGAGACTCCCAATCGTTAGCGGCTCCAAGGCCAATGTGGTGGAGCATGCAAAAGGCTCCAAAAATAAAGGCAATGGGAAGAGCAATCTCGGTCCCAAAGGAGGCGTTTTCAAACCCAAATTTAATGGAAAATTCTTCAATTGCAACACAAATGGACACAAGTCCTCGAATTGCAAGGCACCAAGGAAGAAGAAAGACTCTCAAGTCAACATGGTGCAAGGTGGGCAAAAGGATGAAGACATCATTCTTGCGGCCGTGGTGACCGAGGTCAATCTCGTTGGATCCAATTCCAAGGAGTGGTTCGTGGACACCGGTGCAACCCGACATATTTACTAAAACCGGGAGCTATTCACGACCTTCGAGCCATCAAACGGTGAGAAGGTGTGGATGGGAAATTCTGCTCATTCCGATGTGGAAGGCGTGGACAAGGTGGTCCTGAAGATGACTTCGGGCAAGGAGATGACTCTCAACCAAGTGTTGTTCGTCCCGGAGATACGCAAAAACCTGATCTCGGGCTCGTTGTTGAACAAGCATCGCTTCCGCATGGTCTTTGAGTCGGACAAACTAGTTTTGTCTAAATCGGGAATGTATGTGGGCAAGGGGTATGCAGTTGATGAGCTGTTTAAGCTCAATGTAATGACTATTATTGATAATAATAATAAAAACTCTTCTACTTACTTGCTTGAGTCTTCCAGTGTGTGGCATGGTAGACTAGGACATGTTAATTTTAATTCTATACGTAGATTAATTAACATGGAACATATTCCTAAATTCACAATTGATGTGAGTCACAAATGTGAAGTTTGTGTCGAGGCAAAACTAGCGAGAACGTCTTTCAAATCGGTTGAAAGAAAAATAGAACCACTAGAATTAATCCATAGTGACGTTTGTGATTTTAAATCAATACAAACACGTGGCGGTAATAAATATTTTATTACTTTTATCGATGACAGCACTCGCTATAGCTATGTTTATTTATTAAAAAAACACGAAGCAATTGATAAATTCATTCTTTATAAGAATGAAGTGGAAAACCAGCTTAATCGACGGATTAAAACGGTTAGAAGCGATCGAGGTGGTGAGTATGAAGCATCAATTGGTGACTTTTGCGCTAGTGTGGGTATAGTACACGAACGTACCACACCCTATTCACCTCAATCAAACGGTGTTGCCGAACGAAAGTGTTAGGACTTTTTCTGGTGTCCAATCCTGATAAATATCTTTGTATTTGTGTAGCTATTTTGTCTAGATATTTCAGCTATTATTAGACTAGCTTTCTTAGGAAATGTGTAAAGTGTGCTATTGGGCCCAATCAATAAAAGAGCCCAATCATGCTTAGGTCACATCACACATTCCCTAGGCATATAAATATTGCCTTTAAGGGAATGTGCAAAAGGGGCTTTTACAGATTATTCAGCGCATATTATTGTAGTGAGAGAGAGAGAGCCGCAACTTTGTATTCTCGATACCCTGTTCTGTATTTCTAAACCATTCTCGGTATTGAATCAAAGTTGATCTTTTCTACTCTATTCTATATTTCATATGATTGTTAGATGAAATAGGGACCAACAATTGGTATCAGAGCTGAGCGTGAAATCGATTGAAGAATCTCTGCAATTTCGGATCTACTGTTGACGTTGAAGACAAGCTTCTCGACAATCTGAGTTTATGCGATTGTTTTTGTTTGATAAAGCAGCAATGGACATGAATCTGTGATTTCAGGGCGTTTTCGATCAGAATCTGAGATATAGCAGTCCAGAATTCCGTTTCTGTGTTGTTCGAATTTTTTTGTTTTTCGCATGTGGTTCTCGAGCTTTAGGTGCGACAACAGGTTCTCGATAAGCTCTATCGAAAAGAGTTTCGCGAACAGGTTCTCGATAACTTTCTCGAAGAACAGGTTCTCGATAGGAACGACAGCAAGTTCTCGATAGGGACTTCTCGATAGGAAGTTTTCGACAGGAAGTTTTCGATAAGCACTTCTCGAAGTACAGGTTCTCGATAGATTGCTTCTCGAAAGAAATTTCTCGAACTGCAGCTTCTCGGGTTGAACTTCTCGAAGCCAATATCGAAAAGCACTTCTCGAGGTTGAGTATCGAAAAGAGTTCTCGAGCTTAGGAAGGCAAAGCTTTAAGTAAAAAAAAAAAGGAAAGAGGGGCAAAAATTGTCTTTTGAGACCCGCTGAATTTTACGGCTATCGTGTCCGCAGGTCGCCCGCGCAGGGGGGGTGCGAATTTTCGATTCTGAACTGAAAGCCGGAATTCTTGTGTGCGCGAGAGCTCCCCTCTTCTCATTCACCTTTTAATACTAAGGGAGGAGTAGTTCATATATAAAGGCTCAAAAGTTCTCTAAGAGTTTAGGTGTGGGAAAGTTAAAGAAGTCTACTTTCCACCCTTGTTTGAAAGTGTACACTTTTCATCTATTTTTTCCAAGAGCTAGTTTGAGCCACTTTAAACTCCAAAGTCCAAAACTCCAACACCAAAGGTGAACCTTACAACCAAAGCTTCCAAGAGTCAACCTTGAGATTTAAAAAAAAAAAAAAAAAAAAATCAATTCATTAAAAAAAAAAAATCTCAAGGTTAAGGCTATTTTTCTCAAGGACCAAGCTACACTTCAAGGTCCGGAAATTTGCAGAAACTTCAATCAACCTCACGTCTACGGTCAACATTCAACAATCAACAATGGATACCTCCAACTCATCATTGTGTAAGAATCAATGTGCTGAAATTTCTGATAAGCTAGAGGTAAGGCAATCTGACAGTCAACAAATTATCAAGCAATTGGAAGAGAGATTAGCAAACAATCACCGAGTCTTACTGCAGCAGCTGGATAAGACTACCTCACTCACCATACAATTGGAAAATGAAAAGGAAATTGTTAAGAAGCGAACTTTGGAAATAGAACATCTCACACAAAAGGTAGCTGAATTGACTAAAAAGGTAAGTGACACTGAATTAGAACGAAACGTTGCAAAAGCCGAAAATGATTTTCTACATGAAAAAAGATGTACTCTTTACACGAAAATCAAAGAATTAGAAGATCTACTTGCCAAGAGAGGACAGACAGAACAAACCATTTTTCTCAATCAGAACAAAGACACCCGCTTTTATAACTCTAAGGAGGGTCTTGGTCTCACTAACCCCAATAATTTGAAAAAGGTGGATTGTATTCAACTTTATGACATAAATTATATGGGGTTAGGGTTGACTAAGTTGATGGCTTTTACCTATGGAAAGGAAACATCAGAAGAAGAAGAAGAAGAGGTAAAGCGATCAAACCCTTCTAGAGCAGAAATTCCTTTCAACTATGATTCTTTGAACAAAAGCTATGAAACTGCTGAACCTGTTTTCTCAACTGATGAGAGTGTGAGTCCTTATCCTTCTGAGAAGGAAGTTGTGTCTGATCCAGAGTCCCCTTCAACCTCAGGTTCTTGTGAAGAAGAACCTTATATCCCACCACTGATCAGAAAATTTGAAAACTTACACATTTCTTTAGAAAATCAAAGAAAAAGTTTTGAAGAAGAGAGGAAAAGCTTTGAAAGTGAAAGGGAGAGGTTGTTGAGAGAACTGACTCTTTTAAAAGAAAACTCTCAATCTGGCACAACTTCCCAATCATCTAGTGATACAGATTCTTCTCGAAAAATTCTGAACGAAACTAACATTTTCAAAAGGCCGCCCACTCACTCCACGTCTCCTTTGAAAACGGGAAATGAAGTGAGTAGGAGACTGGAGAGGAGAAGAGAGTGGAGGCTGAAGAGAGCTGAAATAGCTGAAGGAAAGAAGAAAATGAATTTTGTTGAAAATAAGAAGTCTTGTTCTAGTGCTGCTTTTTACTCAAATAAAAGTACATTTAGCTCAGTCACACACCATTCTTCTCAGTCTTTTTCTAATGACTCTAGATCTGTGTTTTCTCATTCTAGTGCTGAGGTTAGAAAGCCTGAAAAACTTAAGCAAAAGGCTAAGGATGTCAAACCTCATTGTTATGTGAATGATGGCAAATCGAAAAAGAAAAGATTTGAAGCTTCAACCTATACTGTTTGTGATGGTGTTTGCCTGACTTATCCCCTCCAGGTTTATTCAGCTAAACACCTGAAACGGTTATCAAGGGAGAAAATCTTTACTTCTCGGAAATCTGTTCCATCATTCACCAGCGCTGAAAATTCTCATACACCTGCAATAACTCAAAAATGGGTTCCTAAATCAGAATCCCAGTCATATAGCTCTCCAAAAGCTTCAAAAGAGACTGGTTTAGGAACTAAAATAAAGCAAAAATTTCAAAATTTCTTTTGTGCTAAAAGGGATGGACCCACCCTGAAATGGGTACCAAAGGTTTCTTAACCTTTTGCAGGTCCGTCATGTGTGGTAACTGAACTGATTGCTCCACATGCATGGCGGGTATGAAGACGAGCTGTGAGCAATCAACTGGTGCACATTATGAAGGGGAGTATTGGCATGTATACTACCTCAACGAGCTGAAAATCAAGAAATGCACACCTCAACGCCAACACATGCCAAGAACAAACAACAAGTGATTATTCTGAGGGGGAGTGTTTCTTTTTCACTCCTCCTGGTGCCTAACAACGAAGAAAGCACATTCCAAGGGGGAGTTTTCCACTTTACTCCCTGGGTGATCAACAACACCTTAAACATTCTGAGGGGGAGTTACATTTTTCTCCTCCTGACGCCAATCAAGGATCAATGCAAGACAACCCAAGAAAGTCATAAGCGAATCAGCTAAAGTCCCCCAGGTGTATCTCTAGCAATTTTGGATAACACTTGGCAAGGACGCTGATGAGGATGATAATGAGATAGATGACGTGCTGACCGCCACTATCAAGGACACCAAGGTCATGATTACCAAAGAGTTGATGCACCAAGTGCTGCACTGGCAAACACATCGGCTTCGACTAGTGCAACATCTACCATTTGGTTGTCTTCCATGATGGTTTTCACTACTGGTGTGACGCTTCTCCAAAACAACTCCATCCATCCACTGTAGACTACCAACGGAGAACGTCAGCAAGTATCTCCAAAAGATGACTAAGGATTCAACGCTTGTACCTCTCTTAATACCAGTGTCTCTGTTGCAGTTAGCTGATCCGAATGATCCATCTGTCCGACACTACTGCCAGAAGAATAACACTATACTCCCTATGGCTCAGATAAACCCCCCTGAGCCTACCCAAGGGAGTCAGCCGAGCGCAAGTGAGGGTCCTGAGAGTTGAACCCAGCCACGTAGACCAGTGGCAGTCCGGCCCCATGATGATCAGACTACGTCTGCTGAGGGCCACCCCCGAGTTGCTGAGGAGACTACCTATGACTCGTCTAGCGCAGCCAGACCATAAAACGCTGATGATGAGGACTCCGGGAGCAAGGCTGAAAAGAGCGACAACAAGAAGGGTGGTGAGGACGACAATCATGCGGACAACAACGCAAAGAAAGCCAGGAAAGCTCAGGTACAAAAATGTTGATTCAATATCAAGCTTCCTACGGCTGCAGATGAAGGGGAGTCTTACTTGAGAAAGAATACTCAAGGACAGATTACCAGTGAGACTCGCTCTAAATAACATCATGATGTCCTCTCTTCATCACTCACTCCTACACAAAGAGTGCAAACATCAAGAAGCCTAGCTGAAGAAACCTAGATGTTACAAACCGGGCTAACCCCATAGGCACAGAGACTGATCTTTTCAGTCTCCGGGTAGAAGACGCAGCATCCAGCCCAACTGCGCATACACAAGCCTCCCCTAGCCACTCTGCTACCTCCCAATAGGTAGTAGTTTCAATATCAGGGGATCTCATACCCACCTCTCCGCCCCCTTTCGGAGCAGTCGAGGATATCTATAGTGACCATCAGCCCTAGGTCACTACCCCTCCTTCTACCACTTTGTGTCTAGGTGTCACCCTCCAAAATTTTCCAATTTTTCTAGGACATGTACACTTTTCACACCACCGCACTCTACAGGTCCACTCTACCTGTCAACAACGATCGGAGATACTTCAATGATGATCGGAAGTCCTGCTGCTCAACAGATAACTCAATCATTATATGCAGGCCACACACCGGTTATCTTTACCAATGTTGTGACAACGGTTACTACCCCTGTAACCGGAAACCCTGACCCTACCGACCTTTCTGTCATTCTGCAGCGCTTCTTGTATTCCACCATTAAGCCATGGGTGCACGAAGCAATAACCGCTTAGGCACAGGAATTCAGGACCAACCCGGCGCTTCTTAATGACATCATCCAAACTCTAACTCAACCCTCATCCTCCCACTCCCAATAACAACTCACTCCAATCCTTACCCTATCCCATTTGACCATTTACCATGCCATTCGATGACCTAGCATCCATTATGCTAGCGAGAATTCTGGAAACCAAAGAAGCTCCACTCACTGACAAACAAAGAGCTCTTATTGTGGTACTTGAAACCTAAAGCACATGCAATGACAGTCTCCGCGGTCACAAACGTTCACATGAGGACCCTGATTATTCGGCTCCTCATGAGGGGGAGAATAAGAGGCAACGGATACTCGAGCATGGTGCTTCATCTAGCCAATAACCCCAACCTGAACTCTCAAACAACCAAGCTAAATGCAAGAATTCTCTCGAGGATGCAGATTTTGAGGGGGAGTTTTCAATGTTCTCCTCCCAAGCGCCAATTATCATCAAAGGCATCCTACTGAGTTTTTCAATGTTCTCCTCCCAAGCGCCAATTAACATCAAAGGCATCCTACTGAGTGCTACAGTTGAGGGGGAGTACAAAGAGAAAAGAGCAAAGAGAAATGAGAGACAAGTCCCAATGGCTTAGTAAACCCAACTAAGCCTACCCAAGGGGCAAAGCCGAGAGTGCGTGGGTAACTGAGTGAACACTATGAGAGTGAGGAAGCAGAAGGCTCTTGTGAGCGAGAAAACAATAATCAATGACATGTCTGCTACCTCAATTGCGCTTTCAATTGAGAGAATTACTCCCAGTCACTCAAATAATCCGGACAATTCCCCATAGGTTCAGGACTGAATTTATTCAGATCCCGGGTAGAAGTCGCTGCATTTTGTCCAAACGGCGCATGCACAACCCTACCCTAGACCACTCACTTGTCTCCCAACAGACATGTGCTTAATCATATTTCACGGGGAACCTCATCTATTATTATTGTCTCCTTCCGAGGCAAGTGATACTGACTACAGTGGCCTCAGCCCCATGCCACTGAACTTTCATTGATCACGTCGTGTCTAGTTATCTCACTCCCAAATGTTTTGAATTTTTTTAGGACACAGACACTTTTTAGAGTCAGTTGCAGGTCTTCATGACCCACGAGAACTTCCATAGGGCTCATCTACTTTAGATGTAGACCAATGATTGGAAGGAAGTCCTGCTATTGCAACATAGAAATCACCAACATGTTCAGGCCATCGCTCTAGAGTTTATCTCTATAGTGATGATAACGGGTGTCTACGCGACCCCGGGGGGCTACCACTTTCTTTGCTGATCTTTATGATTATGCCATAACAACTAGAGTGACATCTACTTCAGATGCTTCACAATGACTGGTTGGAAGTCCTGTTAGAACTTTATTGCTTCTATCATTTTACACAGGCCACACATCGGTGTTTACATTGATGTTGTGATAACGGAACACTATGGTGTATCCGGTTTTTATCTTATTTTTCTTTTCGTTTTTGTTTTCCAGAATAAAAGAATAAAGGCATGACGCCCCGAATCATCGGATCGTCATGAGGGGGAGAGTGGTCCACATGCTGTTCACTGTCAACAAATCATTGTTGGACACATCTCTCCTCCATCACAAAAATCAACAACGGCTCTCTATTCTCTTAAATCATCAGAAATGCCAAGACAGCTTCAAATCAAATTGTCAGCTATACCCAGAAGTTAACCATCTCTTTTCGGAATGCGACCGATGAGATCTCCTCAAAAGCAATCTTTTTCCGCTGTGCCACCTACACAATGGAGGAGACAAAGGTCGGGTAATCAAATTTGAAGATGAATCCCATGCGCGCCTGGAAATCAACCGAACACATGCTCCAAAGGCGCCGTCAGAATTCATTCAAGCTGATCAAGAGCAACTTCTAGAAGGCAAGGACTACAAGCAAGACTTTGAAGATTCCTCAAACCCCGACATCAAAGAACAAATTGCCAAGAAGACATCAAAGGGGAGATTGCAAGGATTTCTTCAGAAAGCCTTCTCAAGAAGCTGAGTTCAACACAAAGACAAAGGAAGCTGAGCTGCACTGAAGATCAAGACAAAAGAGGAGCAACTCAACCAATCTTATCTACGCTCTCCTCTACATTGCTGAATAAACACAAAGACAAAGATATTCGCGCTACAATGCTGATTGAACATGATTGAACACCAAGGGGGAGATTGTTAGGACTTTTTCTGGTGTCCAATCCTGATAAATATCTTTGTATTTGTGTAGCTATTTTGTCTAGATATTTCAGCTATTATTAGACTAGCTTTCTTAGGAAATGTGTAAAGTGTGCTATTGGGCCCAATCAATAAAAGAGCCCAATCATGCTTAGGTCACATCACATATTCCCTAGGCATATAAATATTGCCTTTAAGGGAATGTGCAAAAGGGGCTTTTACAGATTATTCAGCGCATATTATTGTAGTGAGAGAGAGAGAGCCGCAACTTTGTATTCTCGATACCCTGTTCTGTATTTCTAAACCATTCTCGGTATTGAATCAAAGTTGATCTTTTCTACTCTATTCTATATTTCATATGATTGTTAGATGAAATAGGGACCAACAGAAAGAATCGCACATTGAAAGATATGATGAACGCGATGCTAGTAAGTTCGGGCCTGCCACAAAATATGTGGGGCGAAGCAATCTTAACAAGCAATTACCTTTTAAATAAGGTTCCCTGGAAAAAATATGATAAAACTCTGTATGAGTTGTGGAAAGGTAGACGACCTTCCTATCAATATTTGAAAGTGTGGGGGTGTCTTGCTAAGGTGCTGGTACCAACACCTAAGAAAATAAAGATAGGTCCAAAAACGGCGGATTGTATTTTTATTGGATATGCACAAAACAGTAGTGCTTATTGGTTTTTAATGTACGATTCGAATAATCCGGAAGTACATAAAAACACAATAATTGAATCGAGGAATGCATCATTCTTTGAAGACGTATTTCCATGCAAGTCCAACGAAGGACCTAGCACGTCAAAACGGAAGTTTGACGTAGCTGTGGAAAATACTAGCAAGGGATCCGGTGAAGAAGCCGAACCCCGACGTAGCAAACATGTTAGAGTCAAAAAATCCTTCGGACCGGATTTTCTCACATACTTGGTAGAACTCGATTCAAATATTCTAACTTGTATGGTAGAAAATGAACCGGATTTTCTATCATTTTTTGGTAGAAAATGAGCCACGGACTTATACGGAAGCCGTAACGTCTACCGAAGGTCCTATGTGGAAAGAAGCCATTAAAAGTTAGGTGGATTCTATCCTAAAAAATCACACATGGGAATTGGTTGATCTCCCTCCGGGATGTAAACCTTTGGGATCCAAGTGATTTTTAAACGTAAAATGAAACCTGACGGTTCCATTGAAAAGTATAAGACCAGACTTGTAATCAAAGGATACAAGCAACGTGAGGACCATGACTACTTTGACACGTATTCTCCTGTGACGAGAATAAATTCCATTAGAATAATACTAGCAATTGCCGCCTTGCGGAATTTGGAAGTTCATCAAATGGACATAAAAACCGCTTTTCTAAATGGCGATATAGACGAAGAAATCTATATGGAACAACCCGAGGGTTTTCGTGTTCCAGGCCAAGAAAGGAAAGTTTGTAAATTAATTAAATCATTGTATGGATTGAAACAAGCCCCTAAACAGTGGTACGAAAAGTCTGACCATGCAATGTTAATTAATGAGTTTAAAATAAACGAAAGTGACAAATGCGTCTATGTGAAAAGCACGGTAGACGACTATGTCATTTTATGTTTATACGTGGATGATATACTCATTGTGGGTAGCAATAATCTAATGATTAATTCTACCAAAAGCATGTTAAATTCTAAATTTGACATGAAGGATTTGGGGCTGACCGATTTAATCCTTGGGATTAAAATAATTAGAGGACCTGATGGTCTTACGCTAATCCAATCTCATTACGTTGATAAAATTCTTACTAAATTTAATAAGGATGATTATCAAGAGGCAAGGACGCCATTAGATAAAAACGTACACCTTACCAAAAATCGTGGAGAGTGTATTTCTCAAGTAGAATATGCTAGGATTATTGGAAGTGTAATGTATCTAATGAGTTGTACTAGGCCTGATATTGCCTTTGTGGTTAGTAAGCTAAGTAGATATACTAGCAACCTCGGTGATGAACACTAGAAGGCAATAGTAAGGGTTTTGAGGTATTTACGAAAAACCCAGAACCTTGGACTGCACTATGGAAGATATCCAGCTGTACTTAAAGGATATAGCGACGCTAATTGGATATATGACATTAAGGACTCAAAGTCCACAAGTGGATATGTTTTCACTTTGGGAGGTGCAGTCGTGTCATGGAAATCCTCGAAACAAATGTTAATAGCTAGATCCAGGATGTAATCTGAGTTAATAGCCTTGGATAAGTGCACTGAAGAGGCTGAATGGCTACGCCATTTTCTCGAGGATGTTCCAAGTTGGGAGAATCCTGTCCCTCCAATATGCATACATTGCGATTGTCTAGCGGCAATTGGAAGGGCACAGAGCAATCTCTATAATGGTAAGTCTAGACACGTTCGTCGTAGACATAACACCATTAAACAACTCCTCACAACGGGTGTTATCACTATTGACTACGTGAAGTCAAAGGATAACATAGCGGATCCGCTAACCAAGGCATTGGATAGAGAATTGTTGGAGAAGTTGTCACGAGGAATGGGACTAAAGCCCGTGAATTGAAAAGTTCTATAGTGGATACCCAACCTAGTTGGTCCTAGGTTCAAATGGGACAACTAAATTATAGAGCGAAGGATGGTCACTGTGGGGGTCCCGGACTCCTACCCACTCCTCGTTAAAACAGTGACTCCCGCACAAGGTTAGCAAAAACGTTTGCTTTAATGATTCTAAAATGTTGATCTACTCGATAGCATTGGAAGAGTATGCGGGATACTTGTGAAAGAATCACCTATGTGAGAGGGAAGAGGGCCGCTTCAAAGGAGAACTGTAAAGGCTCAGTTCTTTAGAAACTCTTGCAGAACCAGGACAGTGACTCATGGCCAAAACAGGCACACCCATGAGAACGGAACAAAGTTGGAAGGTTCTCGTGTAAAGATAAGTCAATGTTTACACGACGTCAATATAATTCAAGGACATCGAGTCTACTAGACAGCCAGTAAATAAACGTGTCTTTACAGCGGAAGGTTCAAATGATTAAACCTACCTCTCCGTATGCAGGGATCATCTGGTGAACACAACGTGTCCTCCTATGTTCGTGTCTTTTTAAGTCTCGAAAATCAATTTTCATTCATGTGGGGGATTGTTGGAAAAATGTGTTAAAATTGCATTAAATGGTCATTTTGGGGCAATTTTTTGAGTGGGGTCCACTTCCGATTTGGGTCGGGTCAAAGTGGTTTCGGATTGTCCTTGATTAGGGCTACAATTCGATATATGGTACGCTCAAAACGGATAACGGGTTAATGAGAAATTGATTCTCGAAGTTCACTCGTTGAAATGGAGAAAAACTAGGAAAAAGTGGGTTTGTAGTGTGGTTTTTTCCCACACCGGAAAACCCAAGGGAATTTGAACCCTTTATAAAGGGAAACCCCCTTAAGGAGTTAATATTCCTTAGGGTAAAGGCTCTCTTCACGCGCGCAGGGGGGGGTGCGAATCAAATCCCGAAACCAGAGAACAAAAAGCCGTCCGAAAATCCTATCTTCTAAAGATAACGTTAACTTTTGTTCTTCCGGTGTGTTCCATTTTTTTCTCCAGCTAGCCCATTCAATGCCCAACGTTCATATGCACGTTTTGGACGGACGAATCAATGCAAACATGCTGGACATTGATGTCCAACGTTCACACCATTAAAACTGGCCATTAACACATGCAAATCCACCCCTATATAAGGCTGGCAGATGGTTTACAACAGGAAACACTTGATATATGAACTGCACCTTCTTTTAGCTCAAAAACTCTCCAGCCTTCCCCGAAAAAATTCCTTTTGTGTTCTAAGCTTTGTTCTTGTTCGTTGGAACCTTAGTTTGAGTGCTAAACTATTGTTCGAAGTCATTTCTGCTTTTGTGTTCTAAGCTTTGTTCTTGTTCCTAGCACCCCGGGAGGCAACGAATACGTTTTAAGAAAATCGTGCGACACACGAGCTTTGGCCTTTTCTGCTTCATCTATTCTCTGTTTTTCGTTTGGTCATTTTATTTAATTAATTTTTTTATTAATTAATTTTCTTACTTTTTCGAAACACACCCAACAAAAAGAAGTGGAAAGGCAAAGGCATCTAAGCTAGATCCAATGATGACACAATGTTTCAAGAAATGATTGAGCAAGGCATAGAACAAGCTGCAAGAAGAGCTTAGCATGATGAGCGTCAACACAAAGCCGTGCTGTCACGCCCCGGACCTACCGGACACGTCAACAACCCGCAGTACAGTACGAATAGTCAACCGCAGTCCAACTCATCCATACTATACTAGGCGTCTTGAATACCATTCAAAAATAGTACATCCATAAACAAACATAATGTAAAATATTCATTTAAGCAGCGGAAACAATATTACAAGTGTTCAAACCACACTTGGCAAACATGGGCATACAAGCCCCCAAATAATTATTCAGAAAATAATATCCATGAGCATTAATATAATTATTATTAAAACAGAAACGGAAGAAGCACGTACTCTTCTCTATGTGATTCTCCCGAAGCAACGGGCGATGGTAGCAACCTTCAAGTTGTACCTGAAACTGTGAGGTGGCCTCCCCTGTGAAGGGGAGGTCAGTACTTGGAAGCATTTGACAAGTACAATGACAACTATACTAAGTATAATCGGTGTTTCAATTTCTAAGACCCTCAAATAGAGTGATATTATATTATAGGCCATAACGCTTGGTTACGCTCTTTGAAAATATACTTACTTTATATATGAAGTCAAGTAGTCGGCCCATAGGCCCATGTTTACTTTGAAAACGCCCAACCATTGCCCCGTGGCTGCAAGCCACGCTCATCTATATTATTTCGTCATGCTAGAGGCTTACTCTAGTCATGTCCCGTCGTGCTAGAGGCTTCCTCTAGTCACTCCACTTTGTGTTAGAGGCTTCCTCTAATCACCCTACATACGTTGTGCTAGAGGCTTTCTCTAGTCACCTTACGTGATGCTAGAGGCTTACTCTAGTCATCTTACATCACGCTAGAGGCTTACTCTAGTCGTTGTACATTATGCTAGAGGCTTACTCTAGTCATCTTACATCACGCTAAAGGCTTACTCTAGTCGTTCTACATTATGCTAGAGGCTTACTCTAGTCATTCTATATTGTGCTAGAGGCTTCCTCTAGTCACTACTTACTATGCTAGAGGCTCCCTCTAGTCACGCTATTAAATTATCAAGCAAATTTTATTCCTAGAGTCACTTTATTATGAGTAGTCTTTGAGGCCTACTCCTAACATAACTTAGTGTTTACACATTTCTACCTCAAAGCATCTCATAAGACTACTTAAGG